TTCTATAAATTTGGAGACCATTATTAGGCAATTAAATAGCCCTACTTTTCGGAGAGGCCCAGCAGCCCTTTCCACACTGCTATTTTAATACTCTGTGGTTTCATAAAATTCTACTTCTGGTGTATCTCATAATGAATTGCAAGGGCTCCTGATATTTTCTAACTCATGAGGAAATTTTAATCACAAACTATATTTTTACAAAAGTGCTTAGGAAAGAAGCTAAGAATGTATGATGTAATTGGGGAAATATATTATTCATGTTTACACATGGTTGGTAATTATCTAAAGAATGATAAAAATGAAAAATGTCATCTGGCAAAGATAATTTTATTGATACACTTAACAAAAGATACAAAACAAGGAACTGTTTCAAAAGCCAAAGGATAGCTAAAAGGAATATTTAATATTATGTAAATTAACACTCAAATTTTCAAGAGAAATAGAAGATAATCTACTCTCTTACAAGAGTTTCTCCCTTTAATTTAGCAGCATCTTCCAATCATGTTTGTGAATTCTCAGTGCTCATTAAGACTTATAAAAAGTTCCTTGAATAAAATATTCATTAACATCTCAATCATAAGTCCATAATTTATGATAGTAGTTAGCATTAATAACAAAGCCAAAATAACTGAGAACCCATCTATTATCTTCTTTTAAAGCTCCTTCTCCTTTCCTTTCCACCGAAGCCCAGAAAATATGTTTGGTTTGGAAGCAACAGGCCTCCAGTGCCAAAAGAGAACTTAAGGTGAGTGATTAATGACACAGGCAAAAATGCAAAATCACATCAGCTGATGAGTGGATGACTAACCCAAGGTTGAAGAATGTGAGGACATTATTCAAGGCTGAAGCATAACATTCCTTTTGCTGTCAAGTGACAGGTTGGAGACACCATGTCCTATTCTGACATCCCAAAACAAATCCATTGTTTTAAGTTTATCCAACCACCAAAGGTGATCTTTGAAAGTCACAGGAGGCAGATTCTGTAAAGCCTTGTTATATAAAACTACATGATCACTGTTTTACATCTCCAGGTACAGGGATTCCAAGTCTCTTGAGGAAATTCTACTTGCACACCTGAAAAAGTAATATAATCTAAAATCTTTAAACAAGCACAACACAATTATATAACTGTGTTTTATAATTGAACCTAAGAGAATAAAATTTCACCATCATAGACTGAAAATAAAGTGAGAAAACACTAGCCCAAAAAAGTTTTGATCTTAGAACTTTAGCAAAAATATTGAATGAACTAATCTTGTTTACATATCTTTGTCATAGAGATATAAATGACCTGCCTTTCTTCTAATTGAAGACATCAAAGATGAAAGAAAATCCGTCGGTGTTGGAAACATGTATAATTGGTTTGGTGTTGTATTGAAAATCAACCATGCAGAAATCACAAAACCAAAACACACTGAGAAATCATCACTTGAGCTTCTCTTGTTGAAATGTCACTGTGCTCAGTTTGCCATATTACTACCCTACAGGTATGGGTAGCTGTGAGGGGTCAACAGGAGGGTAGGTGAAGAGAGCAACACAGATAGGAGTCCTTATCAGCTGTATTCACCCTACAGCCAAACTGACATTTATTCTTTGAAGCAAATTGTACATCACAGTCTTTAAAAAA